TTGGAGTTTTTTTCTGTCTTTTTAAGATTCTTTTCTATGTTTTTAACAGTTTGGGTTTGTTCCATTGTTTGGTCCTCAAGCTCTGAGATTCTTTCTTCTGCTTGGTTAATTCTGCTTTTTCCATGCTTATCAGTTTGTTATTTATAACATTCATTGTATGCTTTATTGCTGTTATCTCAGTTATCAACTGCTTCATTCTTTCTTCTTCTCTCTCCTTATTTATATTTATTCTCTCAATTAATATCTTGATATCTGGGTTTGTGGTTGGGGACAAGTCCTTCAGGGGGCTCTTCATTATTTGAATTCCATAGTCTGTATTCTCAATGGCTGACCTCCTTGGTGTCTGCGTGAGACTCATACTCTTCCTTTGGGTTTTCTTCATATATGTGGGTTTTCCTCTCCCTTTTTTGCCTCTTGTTTAATTCTGTTGTTCAGTGATAGGGGGATAGCTTTTATTTCTGTTTGCTCAATCTCCTATTCTTCCTTATGTAGATCTTCTGGCTTTATTCAATTCTGAAACTGGACTGGGGGTGGGGGCCTGTGGTTTTTGCAGTTTTGAGATTTGATTAAGGGAGGAGGTGTGATTCAGAAGCTATCTGCAGATCACAGTTTTCACTGACAGGTGTAGGGGCTCCCTGGAACTCATTTCTCATTGCCTTACAGTCTGTTCATGCAGTGAGGGGTCTTTGCCCCTGACTGCAAAATCAGGTAAGAAAAAAGAAAAGAATGGAAAAAGAAAAGAGGTAGATGAAAGGAAGGTGAATAGAGAAAAGATGAGGGAAAACAGACAGGCATACCAACTAACGAATAAACAGAGAAACAAGCAAAGACAGAAAAAAGTAGACAATCACACAAACAAACACAAAAATACCTTGTTGGTTTACTTTCCCTCAAAAATATCCATACACAAACAGATAATCTAAAAAAAAAAAAAAAAAAAAAACCAGAAAGAAGAAAAAAATGAAAGCTAAAACAAAAAACAAACAAAAAGAAAAATTTAGGAAAAATCCTCAGTCTGTGGCCATTGCTGTAACTCTAGGTTTCTTTTGGCTGCTCCAGGTTCCACCTTAAGAATTGGATTGGCTCTGGTCTCTAGCCCCTCCCCTCTGCTCTCAGCACAGGTTAATAAGGTTGCTCTCAGCATGAACCAGATGACCCACAGACTGCTGTGAGAGGAGGATGGATCAGATCTGGACTCGGACTCATCCTACTCATTGCTGCTGCTGTAAAGTCTCCCACTCAGATCTGACATGTCTGTGCCTGTTCCAGCATGGGGGAGGGGTGTCTGTCTCTCAGTGTCCAATGAGAGAATAAACTCTAGGTCCCAAGATGGAAGCTGGGTGGAACTGGGTGGGGCAATTCAGGTCTCTGCCTGGTTCCAGGACTGAGAAGATGGCACCAGTCAGTGTCTCATCACCAGCATAGGGGCTTTATTCCAGGTCTCCATGACCTACCTTCTCCTTGGTTCCTCCTGCTTGTGACTGGTCTGCTGCTGCAGGTGATGGTGTGGGCCAGGTGCCAGGTGGTGAGAAGCCACTGTTGTCTGCTGCCTCTTCTCAAGACAACCCCAAGAATGGCAGATGATCCCGTGCACCTGGTCTCCAATCTCAGTGTGGTGGGGGGTTGTAGTCACCTTTGGAGGAGAGCCCTAGTTGCATGAACCAGAGTCTTCCCTCAGACAGACTTTAACTCATTCACTGGCACACACACCCACTCATGCAGAGTTTATGGACACTTGCTTTTGTGGAGACTCTCACATTCTGACCAGTTTCATCACCATCTTGCCCAGAGGCTCTGATGAGTGTTAAATGTGTGATACAAGAATCACACATTGTACCCACTCCCATAGTTCCATCCACATGCCTGTGTCTCAGACCCCTATCTTCAATCTTCCAGTCCTTTTACTTTCAAGTCTCTGTCCATGCAGCTAGACTGTTGGCTATTGTGCAGAAATCTACATATGTTCTCATTTTAGGTCATTTTTTTCCCTTTCACATAAAGTGGATAATCAGGTATATTGGTTGCAGCTTCACCCATTGGAGAACTCTTCCATCTCCACTATCTTTGAAGGCTACCTCTGAATACAGATATAATGCAGTGAATAGATATTTGTGCTTTGCTGCTACATAGTGAACTAACCCATTTGTCAACCAAAATTGGACTTTTACCTCCTCTTTAGCTAGTTATGGAGAACAACCCTCCCCCCCCCCCATGAGGCTATAAATAGCTGGGGAAGGGGCACTGGTACAACACTGGTGGATGACATATAGGCACCTGGGCTACATGCTCATGCAGCCTCCTCATGCCAATCTAGACCTATGTGGGCTGATCCTAGATGTGCTGTTCCCATCGTCCAATGGACAGCTATGGGACAAGTCTGACTTTATGACTTAGTGTGTCTGACAGAATCTAGCTCATAATGGTCAGTTCCAATTACTTTTGGCTCCTCATTATCAACCATTCCACCTTGACTAAGGCTCAGAAACATTCTAGGAACCATTTCACAAAAGGTGTATAATTTTACACTACAGATGGCATGGCATTGATCCAGAACCCTAGGGGCCTGCATTCTGATTATTTCACTGAGCATCCATCAACTCCAAAATCTATCTTTTCCCACTGACACCTGCAACACCATATGGTTTGCAACACCATATGTCCCAAGTAGTAGGGTTGCTTATACTACAGCCAACATGTGCTGCAGAGCACTTCTCTGTTCCATGCCTACTCAAAGCTGTGAGATTTCCATATTGTTCAATATTTAAGACAGAGCACTATCTCTAGATTTAGAATGTGCTTCCTCCAGAACCCAAAGAGGTCTACCAGGTGTTTTGCTTCCTTTATTGAGGTGGGAACTATCAGATGATGCAATTTATCTCTTATTTGGAAATGGAAGGGAAAGTATTCCAGCAGCCCCTCTCTGCTGAACCACTAAAAACTTTACTGATGTGACATGCTCCAAAATTTTCATAGGGTTTCTCTTTTACCCTCCCGAAGTGCATATGTCTTACCAAGGCCTCTAATGTACTAGACACCTCTTGTTTGTCTCTCTCAATGACGTCATTAATGTAAATGTATTGACATTATATTCTGCATAATGGTCCAGGTTTCTTCAGACCTCTTTATTACAGTTGTTAGGAGAGTTAACATATCCCTGGACAAAACAGAGAATGAATATTATTGTCTGTTTCAGGTGAATGCCAACTCATTCTGATCTTCTTTCTGATCAAATTGGAAAAGAACACTTGCCAAATCAATACCTGCACACCACGTACCTGAGGCCTCATTAATCTGCTGTAGCAAAGATATCACGTTCAGTACTGTAGCTACAGTCAGGGATGCTAACTGTTTAATATTGTGGCAGTCTACAGTCATTCTCTAGAGTACAAACTGGTGAATTGGAGGAACTAAACTGGAGAATTGAGTACTTCCCATTTGGTTTTCCTTATCCATATTCATTGGAAACTCAATATGATGTTGCTTCAACTGCTAATTATATCAATCCCAATACTTAAATACTGGAGATGCTGGAGGAATGACTTATGAGAAGGTCTGCAGACCTAATGGACTATTTCACGCAGCCAGAATTCCATTGATTGCCTGGCCCTATAAGATTCCGCTCTAATAATGGGACCATAATGACACTTCATCTCTTTGAGTTTCATGTCAGTTCAGACCCAGTGCCTAGTAGTCCTCAATATTTCTGAGTATTTTGCTTTCCCTAGTGTACAGTCACCCAAACAAATAGCCATAGGTCTCTTTGAGGAAAGGCTAGAAGAAACATTGCATAACGTACTTGCCATAATGTTTCAAGACCTGGCTCTGTGACCACTCTCCTTACCATCCACCCTGGCTTGCAGAGCTTCTTGGTGATGCTGGTGTCTCTCTTTCTTACCAGTCCCTTCCTGATAGTCTTCAGGAATGATGTGTCCTCTGAGCCCTCCATAGAAAATAAGTATCAAATGGGTCTTCTGTCTTCTGTAACATATCTGTTACAACATGTTCACTTCCTTTAGCCTTTTTATTCTTTTCTCTAGAATGTATCAAGGCAATGTAAGTATTCCCATTTTGCTTAGGAAGAACCATAACTTCCCCCAGGCTTCTAAGAGCTACTTTAGCGATGAGTTTTCTCCCTTGTGGGGTCCTTGACAAGCTGTTATATGTAATGCTCCCCCAAAAGTGATCCCAAATCAATGAATTCTTGCATATCCAGTCTTATGTCTCAATCCCATCCATCAATCAGCAGAAAATCCCTGAAGCACTGTTTTGAGAAAGATTCTGGATCTTATAATAATAAATTAGTGATGTCTGCCATACAGGGGTGAAAAAGAGCTTTTAGACATATAACATATTTTGCCTATATAGTTTGTATAATCTATAACTACAGGATTGAGTACCAATGACCTGCCCGCAGGAGAACAAAGTTCCTGACCTTAGTGTTAGTTCCCGTAGTTTAACCAACCACATTAATTAAATTGATAGATAATAGACTTGATTTTTTCCAAGGGCAGATGTTTAAAGGGAGCAAAAGAAGAAAGCAAAGGAAACTGGATAAAGGGGAACTGAGATGTGGTGTAGGAAAATAACAAGAGGCCCAAGTTGTAAAACAATGAACACAGAGAGGGGAATTTTGAGAAGTTTTCCAATGGTAAAGATTTTGCTTATCTCATTGTTGCCCTTTCTCGACTCTCACACAGTGATGTTGTACAGCTCTGGATTACCTTAAAACTCCTCTCCTGTGACTTAAAAGGTCAACACTATGATTGGTGTGAGTCCTCTTCAGTCATTACTGAAATTCTTCGTATATTGTCACTTTTAAGTGGTAACAAGCTCCAATAATAAAAGTCAAGAAACTCCTATATTGCTTTATTTTTTTTTTCTCAGTGGCCATATGATAAATCAGGGGGGGAAAAAAAAACCTTCCCGGGAATTCATTTTTACTGTGGCATGGCTACACATTTGAAAATGACTGAATTTAAGCACTTGTGTGTTTTTATTAGACTCTTTCACAGGACTCGTCAACATCTTGACTGATATCATTTGGCGATTCACTGGAGACTTCATGGCACCTGACCTGGTTTGCCGAGTGGTCCGCTATTTGCAGGTATGTAGCATCTTCTAAATGTGATAAGATATACTGAAAACAAAGTTATCTCTTGGATTTGTCATAAGGAAAATAACGTAACACCTGGTACTCCTGTGCAACAAACACATTCCCCTAGGTAAGAGGATAAGCAAAATTTGAAAGATTTTTAAATATATTTCTTTTGCTTAAAAAAAATACACAGGTAAAGAAAAGACAAATAAGCAATAAGAATATAAAGCATTGTTTGGGCACAGTGGCTTATGCCTGTAAACCTAGCACTTTGGGAGGCAGAGGTGAGAGGATTGTCTGAGCCCAGCAGTTCAAGACCAGCCTGGGTAATTTGGCGAGACCTCATCTCTACAATATCAAAAAAATAGCCAGGCAGGTGGCACACACCTGTAGTTCCAGCTACTTGGAAGGCCGAGGCAGAAGGATTGCCTGAGCCCAGCAAACTGAGGCTGTGGTAACTGTGAGCATGACATTGCACTCTGCCTGGGTGACAAAGTGAGACTAAGATTCAAAAAAAAAAAAAAAAAAAAAAAAAAAATATATATATATATATATATATATAACACTCATATTTCAAGCCTTAAGTAAAATGTCTGAGCCAATATGAAGTTTTTGACATACTATAAATAAATAATCTCCAGAAAATGTGTCAATTATATTTACCTTTTTCTTTCTAAACTAATGCTACACTGGCTACTGTTCTTCCTTGAAAAACTTTGGGGATTTGCTAGAAAATAAGTATTTCCTATGTAATTACCACCAAATTATACTTTAAAAAACATTCATTAGCATTCTAATTTCTTTTTACCTGAATTTTCTGTTTCAATGCTTTTATATCTGGAATACTAATTACTAATTATTTTCTGAGTTTTGCCAAGATCTATCATTAGATTCAAAATATTTACACTTTGTCTGTTAATACACTTTAATGTAAGTCACATATATGCATAATATGTATATTTGAATTAAAATATTAAATATATACTTATATTACTAACAAATCATGTGTGTATAATATAGATTAAGACATTTCAAATAAGTATAAAAATAATGGATCATTTCATAACTGGTATTAGAGTTGGTGTGCACCATTTCTGAGTTCTTAAAATTTTCATTAATATATTTTTATTCTGATGTTAGTGCTTCTGGTGTAAATTTTTATAGTTTTATAGATGTATAATGCATTTCTGGAACACCTTACTCTACTAGAGTCTATTTGTTGATAGAAATTTTTAGGATCTTTGTATCTATATTCATAAGTAGGTTATAATTTTTCACTTATTTTATCCTTACATCTTGGTAATAGAGTTACTTTATCTTCAGAAAATGAATAGGGGATAGTCACAATTATAATCTTTTCTGCTCTGAACATAACCTCAAAAGTTTGGTAAGTGTAAAAGAGGCCCTACCACTTTGTAGAGCTGATATTTTCACTGGAGTAATTTTTATAAACGTATTTCAATTTCTTCTTCAGGATGTTTGCTTCCTCATAAATAAATGTTTTGAATTATTTATGGTATTAGTAATCAATTGCTGAGATACAAATTATGACAAAACTTAAAACAAAAGACTTAAAACAACAAGCATTTATTATCTCATGTTTTTTATTAGTCAAGAATTCAGAAACACCTTGACTGGGCAGATCTGGATAAAGGTTTATCACAAGATTCAATCAGATGCTCTCTAGTACCACTGTCATCAAAGGCTTCACTGGGGTGAGACAATTCTCTTCCAAGGTATATCACTCACAGCTGACAAGTTAGTGCTGGGTTTTGACAGAATACTCAATTCTTCTCCACATAGGCCTCTCCCTAGGAATTCTTTAGTATCCTCACAACATAGCAACTGGCTTCTCCAAGTAACCAAGGTGGAGGTAGCAATATGTTTTACGAACTAGTCTTTAAACCATCACCTCCACATTACTCTCTTGGTTGCACAAATCAATCTTGATTCAGTGTGGGTGGAGAGAAACCACAAAACACCAAGAGTCAAGGGTTATTAGGAATATGTTGGAGATTGACAACCATAAATCCCTTCAAATTTTTCCAAAGTAACTTGTTTTATTCCTAATTTTCAACTTGAAAATGTCTTCTTGATGTAGAAATATTCATGTTAGTAACATTTCTTTTCTTCTAACTAGATGTAAAATTTATCTTGGTGACAGGGAAAATGTCAGAGAAAGAAATTCTGATGATTCTTTCTTCCATAAAGGCAGCAAGAAAACTGGAAAAAAAAAATGTCAGAATCAAATTTTTCAGGACTCTGAAAATTAACCAAAGTCTTACAACAACCCAGGGAGAATTTATTCAAGAAAATTCCCTTAGTCTCAGTTAAAAAAAAAAAAATTAATAATAATGATAATATGCTTTGTGGAGTTTTAGCTTGCATTATTCTCATCCCCAGAATTCAGCTCTGTGGTAGTCCTGAAAATTAACAGCTCTCATTCACAGTGAAAACAAATAGTCTGGCAGCCACTGGAGAGAGCAGAACAGGGCTAGAACTCTTTCAAAGCCTCTTTCCCAAGAAATTACCATTATTTAACATGTCTGGCAGTTCTTTGGAAGACCCCCTTGCAAGGTTGTCTGTATTTTACTTAATTCAGAGCTCACACATTGTGAAAAACCTTTTTCCTCTGGTCATTTGTCAAAAACAATTATAGGCAACTGATTCACTTTGCAGATGCCTGGGGTATTGGATAATAGTTGGGGAAAACAATAGACTAACCAAAGCTTAAAAATAAGCTGGGTAATAAAATATTCATAGCAACTTTAAATATCTCTAACATATTCCTTAGACCCTAGAAGACCAAGTACATGCCCCAGACCGTGCTTATTATGAGGAAGAAATAGAATAAGACCCTAAGCCCTTACCTTTAACTGACATTGAGGCTTTGTGCAAGTGGGAACTGAAGGAAAAGGGAGAATTGTCAGTTGCCTGGCTGAGTGTCAAAATCATTCCTCCACATTCACACAGAGCCACTCTGAAATGACTGGAGGATTTATTAGTTCCAGCAATTTAAGAAAATCTCTGTTTAGGAGACATTTGCAGCATGGCAGAGTAGGAGATATTAGCTTTTATCCTCCTAAAAAAATCCACATATAGACAACTATTTATAAACTAAAATAGACCAAAGAGAGCTCAGGGGCCCATAAAAGAATCTGCAGCAACATAGTCAAGCAAATAAATAAATAATATGTACATATAAAGGATTGTGGTTGAGATTGGAATATTTTAGAGGCCAGGAAAAAGGTAAAAGGGCAAAAATTATTGATGTCAGTCACACAGCAATAACCAGCACAGCCTCCAGTAGCCCACTTCCCAGAGGACACGGACATCTTTTCCCACTGAGTAACCAATAGCCATTTCTGCCAGAGAGAAAACCTCAGGGGAAAAGACATGAATGTATACTCTTCATTCCCCAAGAAGCAGCAGCTCTGGGAATGAAGGTTGTATCCTTCCCAACTCTGTGCAAGCCCCAATCCTGGAGCCTTATCCACCCTGTGAGTGTCGACACTTCTGACCCAGACTTTGTGGCTGCTCTGAGGCCCATTCATGTTTTAAATATCACAGCCATCACCATAGTGAGCTAGTTAAGCATCCAAGTCCCCAAAGTCAAACTCTCTCTGCATGTACCTACATTCCAGGCACTGACTTTAACACCTTAGAGAGCTAAGTACCACCCAGGTCCTAGAGTCACTGTCATTCTGGGCATACTTGTGTTCCCATTCTCATCTCTATGGCTAATTCACAAGCACACTGTTACCAACATGACAACAAGGGCACCTGCACCTGGGGCAATAGCTCAGCCACAACAGAAAGATAGGCCCTGCCTCAATCCTAAAGCCACTCTAAGTCTGTACAAGGCTGTGTTCTCAGCTCTCATGTTGCTTCACGTGCATCCTTGCCTCACATAACATAGCCATTGCTGCAGAGGGGGCACCTGCACCTTGGGAATCAGTGCCATTATCACCCTAATTCGAGAGCCATAATCTCTGTGTGCCCATGCATCAGGCCTCAGTTCCATATCCCACACATGCCCATAGATCAGTTTTGTAGCCACTCCATGAGTGTTACTCATCAAACACCATGAGTGGGCTCACAAGTCAGACTTCATGCTGAGTAGAATCCCCTCAACCACAATTTTCTTGGTGGGAGAATAAGAGATCAGGAGGACCTTAGCTGTGATTGTCACCGAAGACCCATGCAACTCTTGCTGTTGATTCTGGAAGGGCAACAAAGTAAAACACCATGAAATGTGGTATGCTTGCAATTTGTTACAGAATATATGCTATATTTAAGAGATTTAAATTGTGACATCAAAAGCATAAAATGAGGGTGGTGGAGTAAAAGTACAGAGTTTTTCTTGTGATCACAGTTAAGTTCTGATCAGCTTAAAATAACCTGTTGTAACTCCAAGAGTTTCTTATAAGCCTCATGATAACCACAAACCAAAAAGCTGTGGTAGCTATACAAAAGATAAAAAGTAAGGAATGAAAGCGTACTGCTAGAGAAAATAATCTAATCACAAAAAAGATAGCAAAAGTGGAAGAAGGGAGAAAAGGATGCATACAATAACCGGAATATAATTGTCAAAATGGCAATTTAGAACTTGCATAATTGAAAGTGCAGGGGTGGGGAGGAGGAAAAAGAAGAAAGTGCAAAGATGTAAAAAAAGATATTCTATGCAAATAGAAATCAAAAGAGATCAGAATTAGTTGCACTTATATCACATAGAACAGACTTGAAATCAAAAACTGTAAAATGAGAAAAAGATCATTGTAAAATGGTAAAGGTATTATTTCATCAAGAAGAAATCACTATTACAAATATGTATGCACTCTACCTCAGATCACCTATATACACATAGCAAATATTAATATATATGAAAGGGAAGTAGACTGTAATACAATATTAGGGTTTCAAAATCCACTTCCAAAAATAGACAACCATCTATCTAGACAAAAAAATCAGTAAGGATGCATTGGATTTAAATCACCCTATAGATCAAA